ATTCAGTTTGATTCAATTCAAAAATACTTAATTGATCCAGAAAGATGATCAATGTATAATGACTCTTGTGTAGTGATTTTTGTTGCATTTTTAAATACAGATTTTGACAAAAGTAAAGGCATTTTTTACATTAGCTAGGGGGGTTCTAGGGGGGTTAACTCCCTCGTCAGAGTGGTTTCGGTTACATGCCTCATTGAAGTATGAGTCAGGTGGGAGGTGAATTTTCTGGGTATATCTCTTAAAAGTGCTTTTTAAGTAGGTTATGTCTAAGACCACCGCCTCTGTTGAGAGATGGTTTTTCCAGGTTTACAAAGATGGCTTCCTTAACCCCTCTTTCAAACCGTCTTTCTTCCTTTGCAAGTATATTGACGTAGTCCTCAAACGAGTGTCCCTTAGGTGTAGGTAAACGGCTGAGTCCTGTCCTGAACAGAACGTCCTCCTGTGTTGAGCCATGCACCTTCTAAAGGCTGATTTATACTCAGTAACCAGGTCGTCTGGGTGTGTGTCGCAGTGAACGCAAATATGCCTCAGCCCCTCTACATCCGCTCTACACTATGCATATTTGCTGTTTGGTACCTTACCAGCTTGTTTCGTTTGTATGACCGCTATTGTGGAAAACGATTCGTGAAAACACTGGGACCCTTTCTCCACCTGGATCCCCACTCTTTTTCACCCTCAAGTGGGTGTAAGGTTGTTGGACAATGGAGGGCATTGTCGCACAAACTTGTACCCACATCCTTACCGCCTTGGCCCTATCAACACCCACAGCTAGTTCGTGATTGTCCTTCTTGTGTTCTGGAGTGGATAACATAGCGCAGACCACACTTCAATATTGGACATAAATCAAAAATATTTGCGACAAACTGCTGCGGGGAGGATAAGCAGCCCTTTAGTCGTTGCTTGGTCTCTCCAATGTACAGGTATGTGCACTCTTCCCTAAACTGAACTGCTAAACCATGTTGTCATTCTTGTTTCTGGATGTGTTGTCTTTGGGGTGAACCACTTTTTTGTCACAAGGTGTTGCCAGGTTTGAAGTGCACAGGGATCCGGTGAGCCCTGCGATGGACTGGCGACCTGTCCAAGGTGTACCCCGCCTCTCGCCCATTGACTGCTGGAGATAGGCACCAGCACCCCTCGCGACCCGACTAGGGACAAGCGTGTAAGATAATGGATGGATGGATGGGATCCGGTGCTGGTTGAAAATCATCCTGAGTTTTTCAGAGACTCCAAAAACATTAGGAATGAAGATGTTCCTTCTTCTATTCTCCTCCTTGTCCTCTTCTTGTTGTTTTTTAGAAAATCAAATCTACAACCTAACGACTGAGTGACTTCTCTGCTTTCTATAGATGTTCCAAGCCAATGTTATGGACCTTTAGTAACACAAAAATTAGACATGGCCTGAATGCAAGGATCACATTCTTGTGACAAAGGTTAGAAAAGTGTTGAAGATAGATTCAATAAAAACTCTGTAGACAGATGTCCCCCTCAAAGCAATAAAAAACATGAAAAACTGTAAGAAAAGCTGAAAAGCAAGACCTGCAACAGTCAGACCTGGACATTTGGCTGGATGATATGGATCAGAGCTGGTGAGGAATTCCTGCCCCTAAGTCAGGAAAAGACCTATTAGTTTATACTACAATACCCCATTCTTATAACAAGTGGGTCAGCAGCTGCGTTTTCATAAACCTGCTGATTCTGTGGATAATCAGGGCCTGCAGAGGTAAGAAGGTCATTTCCAGTTAAAAAGAAAACTCATTCAGAGAAATCTGACTTCTTTTTAAAGTCGTCAGAGTTAAAATATAACTTTACAAACCAGTTCATCTAAGGGTAATTATACATTAAAGAGACACTAATCAGGCTGAATGCTACTTTAAAAAAACTTAGTGTAAATGTGAACAGCTGGATGGGTTTCAATTAAATACACTTATTAACTACACCATAATATATAGATATTAAATACATTAAATCATAAACAAAGATAAATATATGTAGCACAAGAAAAACAGTGAGCATGGCTGTGACCTCTTGCTGAACAGTCGTTCAGAGGAATGAGATTACGAGAAAAGTCACTAAATTTCTCTGAACCAAAACATCTAACCAGGTAATATAAATGTATTGTATAACTGGTCTTGAAAAACAATGAAAACAGTTTTCAAGAAATACCTTTTTTTTCTCTTATATTTTCCAAACAAATGTATTGTGTTTTGAATGTAAATCCCTATGGATTAAAATTAATGACACCCCAGTTGTGATTTTTATTTTTCCTATATTATGAAATTCATTGATATTTTATATGATAGATGAGCACTTAACAGTGCATATGTGTTAAAGAAGGAATGGGTTTTGAACATGTTTCAGTCATGGAGATGATCTGTATTCAGATTAGAGATGTCCCGATCCAGGTTTTTGCACTTCCGATCCGATACCGATATTGTTTTTGGACTTCCGATCCGATACAGATACTGGCCGATACCAGCCTATCCGAGCATGTATTTAAGTTTAAGTTAAAGTATTTAGCCTTAGTTGTAAGACTCATGTTGAAAAGGGTTTTAGTACTCTTGATAACATCTAGCCAGCTAAATTAGGTGAGATTGAATAAAACACAATGCTTGGTTACAACAAACTTACCTGTTTATTAAGAGATAAACACAAACTGGACAAAATTACGAATAGCAATCTGAAATTGCACAGTGAGCAGTAAAACCGTAAACAGTTAAAGGTGCAAGTATTACTGTAAGTTTTAATAAAAATGCAAAACATTGGAACACTGGTGCAAAACAGTGGAATGGATCGTTTCAATCGGCGAAACTGGAAAATACGGACCGGATTTTTTTTTAAAAACTGGATTGGCAGTCTGGATCGGCATTTTACATGCTTTGCCGATACGCATTTTTTTGCCAATATCGGCGTCCCGATCCGATACGTGGATCGGATCGGGACAAGCCTAATTCAGATCCCCATGTGTCTTTATAAAAATACCTTTTCATTGCAACTACAGTACACCTGTCGGTGTTTAAAAGTAGGAACCTAGAAGCTCTTCACTTTCAGTAGCTGAAGTTGTTTTGTTCCAGAATAATTAAAATTCAATCATACTGGATGGAGAACTTTGGTCTTGCCACAGATTCTCAGTTTCTGGGGTTTATTAAAGCCATTCAAAGATATAGAAATTAGAAATGCAAGTTATTAATGAATTAATGAATCTAAAGTCGATTATTTTTAAAAACCTGATTTTTTCTCTTGAATCAAGTAGAGATTCACCAATCCGTTACCTGGATCCTATACAGACTAGTAGCTGGATTGGCTATCTGTGATTTTATATTGAATATCCAATCCAGTTCGCTTTAGATTGACTATGTATTGCTTCTAGGGATGCACAATATAATCGGCCCTCTATCGGTATCGAACTTCTAAAGACGAGGGAAAAATTATTGATACATTAAAATATCACAATATCTTCATATGCTGATATATTGCCATTTAAAAACACCATATAAATCTCTTTTACTAATGAAATATTGCTATATGTCATCGTTATGCTACGAAATCCCCCGAAAATTCACGAAATTTTGCCATATTTTTATATGTTGATATATTGACGTGGTATCGATCTATTTTACTAACAAAATCTCACAAGAATTTGCAAAATATCACGAGAGTTTGTAACAGAACGTTAAATTTCACGAGATTTTGAAAGTAAAATAGATCGATACCACATTTTTAAAAATCAATTTAATATCAGCATATGAAAATATATTTGAGTATATTATTTTTCAAAGTGTCAGAAATGGATAACTAAACTGCTATTTTCAATGACTACTTATTTTTGTCCAGGTTTAACATCGGTATCGATATCGGTTATCGGCTACATGAGTTTTAAAATATCGGCATATCGGATATCGGCCAAAATCCCAATATCGTGCATCCCTAATTGCTTCCTTTTTTTTACTGCTTATTTGCTAATTTAAAAAAGGGAAAATTTATATCTGTGTTAAATAATTTAAACAGTGTTTATGTCAGGATAAAGCCTTCACTCACATATCCCAGATATATGGGGCGTTGCGGCATAGTTGTAAGGGCGTAGAGCTAGGAATCCAGAGGTTCAGAGTTCAGGCCCCACTCCCACAGAATATCACTCTGGGCCCCTGAGCAAAGACCCTTGACCCCCACACTGCACCACAATGGCAGCCCCCTGCTTCCCAAGCGAATGGGTTAAATGCAGAGAGTGAATTTCGTTGCGCTGTACTTGTGACATTGTAACAACAATAAAAAAGTGAAAAAAATAAATTGTTGAATAATAAGTTGTTGAAATATAATCATATACATTTTAGAACTAAGCATATTCTAAGAAATATTTAGTCTTTATTATGAAGACATCCTCTGGATACCAGAGATGCACTGATCCAGTTTTTTATATATATATATATATATATATATATATATATATATATATATATATATATATATATATATATATATATATATTCTCGTAATATTACGACTTTATCATCATAATATTACAACTTTATTCTCATTATGTTATACGACCTTGTTCTCAAAATTTTACGACTTTATTCTCATAATATTAAGACTTTATTCTTATAAATTCACGACTTTTTCATAATTTTACTTTATTCTCATAATATTACGACTTTATTGTCATAATGTTACTTTATTCTCACAATATTACGACTTTATTCTCATGTTACTTTATTCTCGCAATATTACGATTTTATTCTCATAATGTTACGACTTTATTCTCGAAATAAAAAAAAATATATAAATTTCAAGCCTCGCCCAGAGCTCAACATTCCTCATTTTAGGGAAGACAGTGCTTCTTGTAAGAGTTGTCATAAAATACAACTTGTTTCTCGTAATTTTAGGAATTTATTCTCGTAATATTGCGACTTTATTCTGGTAATGTAAACTTTATTCCCGCCATAGAAATAATAATCTGTAGCGACGCACCGTTTCTTCCATCCTTCTCCAGCTGTCTGACTTACTTCGGTGTCTGCCGGCGGACCATGACTCCTTTGCCAGGCTCGGCCTCCGGATGATGGCCTTTCCAGCCGACCGGAGGGCTTCCATGTCGGTGCTTATCAAGCGCGGAGAGTTAGTGAAGTTTACAGCAAGTCTTCTACTAGAGGTTTGTTGACCAGAGCAGTGCAGAGGGAGCGATGGACTGGTGGTGCTTTCAGGTGTAATTGGAAACGACAAAAATTGAACTTTCTTGGGACATTTCAACAAGTTGTTTTTTTTTTTTTTTAGATAAATGAATGTCGATTAATTTTACACTTAATAAGCTAAGTTAAAGCAAAACCATACATATAAATTATCTTTATTGATAAAACTAAAATACATTAGATAAAAACGAACTAGAAGGTTGTCTATATCCGAGCAGCACCTGAAGGCCGCATCGCAGAATGACAGAGGAGCTTTTTCAGATTGTAGTAGAGATTATTGGTAGTCACAAATTCACACAGTTACAAATTCACTAAGAGAATCAAAGCGAATTTAAGAAAATTAAAACATTGTTTAAACAAGTCACTAGCCTACTTTTTTATTGTTTTTTTTCTCCTTTTTTCAAATGTTTTGTTCTTACCAGCACACCAGCTATGGGCCTACTCAGATCACAGATGTTAGAGATGGGTTGCAACATCTCTGATGAGTTACATACGACGGAGTATTAGGGCCACACATGAAGAGAAAAAATATTTTTTTCTCTTCATGTGTGGCCCTAATACTCCGTCGTAGAAACAGCTGTGCTAAGGCAGGGAAACTTCCAAAACCTGCAGGACATCAGCCCTAAAGGACAGATTTTGAGCATGCCTGCTTTAGATTAAATATATTTCACCCAGGTAAAATGACTGAAATGTGAAAATATTTTTGCTCTACACACCAATCTTCTAAAATTCAACTGTAAGGACAAAAAAAAAAAGTTTTCCTTGTGTTGGACTGAAGGTATAACTGTGGATGTCTCCCTCTAGTGGTCGTTTTTAGAACTTTCAGCCCAAACTGATGAAGACATCACCAGACTCAGCAGGTTGCAATGCCACCAGCAAGACTTTCTTTAATGGTGAGGCTCAGAAGTGAACCGTGTGACACAGCCACCATCACTTTGAGTGAATAAAATAAAACATGGCAGAACAATTAAAAGATAAAACAAAGCACTTTTTTCCAAAATATTTTCACTTCTTTCTACACAAACCTGTAAAAGCAACTTAAGTTACAATGCAAGAGCGATCCACAAATACTTTTTTTTCCCTCCTTTAAAAAAAAAAAAAACAAGGTAGGCAACGTGACAGCACAGGATGGTTAAAATGGTTCAGGGGTAACCTTTTCCCTTTTAATCATATTCACAGAATCCTTCCTGGTCAAAAAAAAAAAGAAAAATACTAGAAAAAAAAACTTTTTAAGATGGGAAATGGTGAGCAAGTGCCTGTCATTAAAAAAATTGGTAAAATTTTGATAAATAAAAAGTGTATTAACACAATGCGTCCAACTGACCATCTGCTGTTTCACTGTGATCACCCCAGAACTATGTAAACACGACACCATCCAAATATGTTTTGAAGACCATCAATCATTTTTGTCAGATCTTGTCCCTCCAGAGTGAGATAGGCGTGAGGCCGATCCAGGCAGGTGAGAGGTGTGATGCAGCCTGAACTTTCAGTTCCTAACATGACTGGCCATTCTTTGAACATCCTTGGTTAGATCCACTGCTTTTCCATATTCCCTCAATCACGGAGCACGGTGAGGTCATGGATCTTCCTCCTGAGGGATTCATCGGTTCTGCAGTGCTGCGGCTAGGCATGCAATTAACGATTATTTAGCCAATCAATTCATTTGGTTTTTTTATTCATATTCGGATAGCAGAAGGTTCCTTAAAGATTTGTTACGGAATTAAACCAGGTGAAGCTAAAACTTAATTTTTTTTTTTTATCTTAAATGCAAAATGTTTATTCTTTAAAGTTTTGATATAATTACTGCTCTGATTTGCTGTCGGCGAAAGGCATTTTTTCAAGTATACTCCATTTAATGGTTCATCAATTACCAAATTAGTGGGGGACTATTTTAATAATAGTTTTAGCTGTAGCTGGCGCTCGCTGGAAGCTTTCATCCTAACCAGGAGGAACTGCAGCTTTTCTCTGCATTTTGTCGAGTCCCTCATGAGGTTATCAGCCATCATTTTCAGGCGTCAGCACTGAAACAGCCACGGTTTATAGCTCACATGGATTGGTTTGATTAAGCCACCAGGTGGCGAGTTTGGCAGCTTTAAGCTTGTCTTGAAAATCTTTTTGCAGCCTAGAGTGGATCGTCCTCAGAGAGCTGTTAGTTGAGGATAATGACATCCTTCTGCAGAACCTCTGTTTTTCAACGGCCATACACTCTTTGTTCTGGATGAAGACCGGGTCATGGTGCTGCCTGGCTGAGCCTAAGCGACTTCAGAGAGCCACACAGCGACCCATGAGCTGACCGTACACCTTCCTTTTCACCTGCTCCACATTGGCCAGTTCTATCAGATGGATTCTGTCATAAGGGTCTGCCAATAACCAACCTTTATGCGACGAGATTTGAGATGCTCCATGGTGTTGTGAAAAGCACCAGGAACCTTTGAAATACCGGCTCCCTGCAAGTTTCCTGCCAAGGTGACGTTAAGCAAACGTTTGACATTAACCCGCCTGCCTGGTGATTTGCTACTACAGCCCACGGTGTTTCCTGCCAGTGCCGTACAATTCAATACCTTCAGAATTATAGTGCAAAATCACTCACTCAAAGAAACCATTATTCCTGTTGGAAATTATAAACCATGTTTACCACACTGGAAGTGTGATCTCCATGCCCTTCACAAAAGTCGGAATCTCAAGTCCGACAGCAGTCAGATCACTTGGTGACTCCCCCCGTGCCGAAAGAGAGGAAAATCAGACTTTGACAAAAACTGGCTGAACACTCAAGTCTTCATAATCAGCAAATGGGATGTTGGCTTTGTAGAACACGCTATCCATCTGTCTGACATTCTAATGACATAAAAAAGAACAGCACACTTTATGCTAGCTACATCAATCAAAGTACGGATGAGAACCGAACATCAACACTTGGCACTTAAGAACGGAAATTAAATAAGCAAAGAAAAACATTCCCCAGTTAATTCAATGTACATAGTTGTAAACAAGATGCCGGCTTTGCGGCACGATGAGAGACAATCTGAGTTGGCGTCGGGCACACCGAGCCCGGGACGCGACTTGCACCACGTCCAATGTTAGTCTGCTTAATGCTGCCGTCTAGCTGCAACCATCTCACATTTAAAATGTAAGAATTTTTTTGTGTTTTTTCTCCTTCGAATACTAACTTGAAATTTTTGCAAATAAGTTTTTCCCTCCATCATTCAAATAAAAGCTAAGCATGTTGGTGTGTTTCTGAAGCGAGGTGCTATTATATCCCAGGATTTAGAAGAAAGTGGTTTCTGCAAGGCACTGTTACTTCTGCAGATTATGGTAACGGGCAGTTACCTCGACATCATTGAATCCAGAGAGCGATGGCCGGATGGGGCCTAATTTGGTCCAGAAATAAGAGGGAAGCGAGGTGAGGGAACCTAGATGTAATTTTTTGGCAGTGCCAGGCCTAATCAAGCAGCTTTATCCTCCGAAGGGCAAAGCTACATCTAATTCTTCCACTTACTGGTTATCCTGGAGCGCTCAATTTTCCAGTAAAAGGAGAAAAAACACTGGATCCGAGGAACAGCATTCAATATCACCGTTTCAGATTTACGCACATTGTTGTAATGAACCGAAACTTTACGAAACAATCATCAATTGAAGTTAACTCCGATATATCCAAACATGAAGTTTTTACATTCATGTATCACGGGGCTTTACTTTACAGGAGAGCCTCAGATCAACTCAACTAAAAACATGCCTTTCATCTCATTTAAACCATCAGCTAAATCCAATCGAGGTTTATCGAGTTAAATCAAACGCCTGGGTGTGAAGAAAAGTGTTCAGGCTGCAAGGAGAACTGACGTGAAGCGATGTGTGATGGCTCGTCTGTAGACATGTGGCCAACCAATTGTACGCAACCCCTTCAAAATAAAGAGCTCTTGTAATAAAACCTCTGAACAAAGCAGAGAAAAAACCCTCAGAAGAAAATGGAGGAGCTTCGTGTGTCATTGTGTGCTAAGTGCAAAATCTTGTCGAGGGGGCTGGTAAAGGCTGGTAAAACTTAAAGGTAACCCAAACTAGTGGAGACAGCAAAAAACAAGGGGGAGGGGGGGTAAACACTGAGTCTGGAAAAAAAGTCACTTTTTCAGGGGCTGGTAGACTGAGGCGTTGGGGTCCAGGGAGGAGGGACTATTGTCCATGAACTTGGATGAGTAGTGCGGGGTGACCGGGCTCAGGTTGCTGCTGTCGGACGAGTAGGACAGGCTGGGCATCACCGCCATCACCTCTGCTATCTTCTGCTTCAGCTCCACGATCTCCTGCTCCCTCTGGTGGATCTGGCCTGGATGGCAGGAAACAAAAACAGGACGCACCGAGGTTAGACACATCTTCTATACATTCATTGATTCATGAATTAATCTAAAGTTGATTGATCTCATCCACTGACCATTAATTGATAAGCAACATTTCTCTTAAAAACCTGAGTTTTGTTTGTATGAGGACGATCTTTCCAGAACATGCAGGGTCAGCTACTTCCAACAATGTTTATATATAAAAAATAAATAAATACAAAAAATAGTGCATTTTGTATTAAGTATATTTTGATAATTTATTATAAAAGCTGTATGAAATACAGACTGAAAAACTGTTTTCTTATACATTATTACACTTAAATCTATAAATAGAACTACAGCTGAAACAATTAATCTGATTAATCGATTATTGAAATGATCATCAACTAATTTAGTTATCGATTAATCATTAACTGGAGTGTAGAGACTGTAAATCATGCCTTTAGCTGACAGAGGAACCCACTTAGAGCAGTAATTATGTCAAAACTGTTAAATATATAAATATTTCAAATTTAAGGTAAAAAAAAAAATAATATTTTTTTTTTCGTCTGTCAATATGCTCTATCCAGACCTCTTCAAGTGCAAAAGTTAGTTTTACCTGGTTTAATTTAGTAAAAAAAATCTTCTTTAAGGAATCTTTGGCTATCTGATTATTAATCAAAAAAATACTAAACAAAGATTTACTAAATTATTAGTTGCAGCCCTAAAAAGAACAAAACAAAAAGCCTTCCTCATCCACCGTGCTTATAACTACCCTGTCTTCTTCTATCACTTTCTTTTTTATCGTTACATCTTCACTTTTAGAGCAGAGGAGTTGATGCTGCTCCCCCATGCAGCACAGCTGACTGGGTGCCATTGAGGCAGTGGTGGCTGGTGGAGTTTTCTTTAGGGGGAGCTAAAAATTCTAAGGGCGTATATATCAAAAAACAATAAAAGTATACCAAGTTATCACAGCAGTACATTTATATAAATACCAACAACAAAAGACATTCTAAAAAACTTTATAAAAGCAAAACATAATTCAATGTACATCTTTACTTTTTGAAAAGACGAAGGCTTTGTGAAGATAAATCTGTGTTTTGCATGGTCCAATATTTGTCATAAACCTAAAAAAGTAATGTACCAGTTTAATAATGGGGAAGCTATTAGTTTTTATATTATTATATAGTATTTATATTTTTTAATATATAAAAACTATTTTCTGAGGATGTGTTTATTCAAGAGCAACTATGCAAATTAACATCTAGAAAAAAATTTATTTTCCATGTGAATCCCAGATTGTTCATTCTTCTTTGCCTTTTCTAAACAGTGTTTTAAATCAGTCAAACCTGTCTTTATCCATGCTGGCTCAGATCCTGACGCTTATAAAAGGAGGAAGGAAAGCAGGATAAGGTGTTAGCCTCACTGCATGTAGTTAGCCAAGTCTTTTTCTTAAACCATGTCCTGGAAAAGGATAGTTCTTTCTCCATTTCTCTCTCCAATGCGTAAAAGATCTGCGCTGTGGCGGGAGGTGGTGAGCAAATACACTTCCTGTCACCTCAGGGCGCACCAGATCTGCGCCCCGAGCTCTCCTGTACCTTTGTATTGCAGAGGAGCTACTGCGTAGGGCTGGGCGATAATTCAATAACGATATATATCGATCGATAGACATGTGGCGTAATAAAAAAAAAGAGGGTCGATAAAAGTTCGATAAAAAAGAAACGCAGTTTTCCTTCCTTCTCATTGTAGCCTAGCATGTAGGTTTATGCTAGCCACTACTTCCTCCTAACCAATCACAATCGCGGACCCAGGCATGCCGTCACCAAGCGCCGCCCTCTCAAACCACAACACAGAGCACATGAAGCTGTGCAGCAACGAGAGGTGGAGGAAATTGTTTCAAAGAAAGGTCTTTGTAGTTCGGCAGTCTGGCAGTATTTCGGTCATGGCAAATCGGACCAAAAACAAACCACAGTCATCTGGAAAATGTGTCGGGAACCAGTGAAAACCAGTCTGATAACGAAACCAACTTTTTTTTTATCATCTCAGCCGCTCACAGCCGCAGGAGTACGAGCTGTGTAGGCCCCGGTGCGGCTCTCCTCCGAGGAATCTTCGGAAAATATATGTATATTTTCAGTTCTGGGCAGTTTCCCACGTAGTTCTAACAATTGAGATAAAAATGCTGAGGGGGCAGAAACTTCAAAGTAATAACTCAGGTTAAAGCAGGAAACGGGGGCGGCGGCGGCGGTGGGGGGGCATTTATTTATTTGTTATATTTATTTTGGTCACTTTTCTGGTCACTTTAGTTTATTCTTTGTCAGTATTTAATAACATAACTCAGGTCTCTTAAGTTATTCTTCTTTAAAACAATTTTGTTATGGTTAAAAAAGTTGGTTAAATAAAGATTTAATTCGAAGTCTGTGTTTGTGTTTTTTATTAAAATTTAATCATTTAGCAATATTATAAAAAGTCCAGGCAGAGCTGCACATAAAATATGGTTTCAAATCTTTTCAATAATTATTGATATCGATCAATATGCATTTTTTTTTATCGATAAGCTTTTTTTCTATATCGCCCAGCCCTACTACTGCGTATGTACAACTTTTAACGAGTCAAAGGGCAAAGATTTCTCATCAATCTGACGAAAAATTTAATGACGCTTACGAGTCATTAAAGATTAAATATGCATCTTGCACATCTAAGAAATACAATTTTAATATATCCCGAAATATTTTAAATGTTAATTTAAAGTGAACATACACATATACACACACATATATATATACACGTATATATATACATACATATATATACATATATACATATACATACATATATACATATATATATACATATATATATATATATATATATATATATATATATATATATATATATATATATATATATGTTTATATATATATATACAGTGGGGCAAAAAAGTATTTAGTCAGCCACCAATAGTGCAAGTTCTGCCACTCAGAAAGATGAGAGAGGCCGGTAATTTTCATCATAGATATACCTCAACTATGAGAGACAAAATGAGAGAAAAAAATCCAGAAAATCACATTGTCTGATTTTTAAATAATTTATTTGCAAAATATGGTGGAAAATAAGTATTCGGTCAGTTACAAACAAGCAAGATTTCTGGCTCTCACAGACCTGTAACTTCTTCTGTAAGAGGCTCCTCTGTCCTCCACTCGTTACCTTCATTAATGGTACCTGTTTGAACCCGTTATCAGTATAAAAGACACCTGTCCACAACCTCAAACAGTCACACTCTAAACTCCACCATGGCCAAAACTAGAGAGCTGTCAAAGGACACCCAAAACAAAATTACAGACCTGCACCAGGCTGGGAAGTCTGAATCTGCAATAGGTAAACAGCTTGGTGTGAAGTAGTGATGGGCAAGTGAAGCCTCATGAAGCAATGAAGCTTTCCAACGCAAAGTGTTGAAAAAAGTTCATTACTCGATGCTTCATTCATCACTCACTAGTGACATCTGCTGGTGAAACTGTAACAGCCTTGTTACTCAGTTGGATCATACTTCCAAATATTAGGAAATGCAATATTGTCACAAAGTTTTCACCAAACTCATGTTTAGTAAGAGGAGAATCCTATTCAATTGTCATGTTTTAATGATTAAAATGATTTGTAGCCAATCTAATCCTTGACCATCAGTGGTGGTGTTAGGTTTTCTTTTATGTCATGGACTTATTAGACAATGAAGATGTGTTACTTTAATGTATTGAAAACTGAGTGACTGTTGCTGCAGACTCTGTGTACTTTGAGCTTGAAACTTGCTTCCTTAAAGACAGAATTTGTTTAAAATCATCTCTTCCTAGGAGTTCTAGTTCTGATTCTTAATATTAAGTTACACATAGAGTTTGCCTCTTCTAATGGCTTTTAGTCTGGTTTTGATGTGTGATTCTGATGCATCTCCTGATTAAACAAAAGAAAATATAGAAATTTCTGGATTTTAGGTTTAATTGTTTTTATTTAGGAATAGGACTTTTTTCACAGTTTCAGGTTGTGATCCGTCATCTCATAATACTCCCACATATGAGAGGTTTTTCTCTTTTTTGACGGCTCCATTACAACCACTGCTGATGAAAACTGTTCTGCTGATACCAAACCACCTACTACAACCCACAAAGCAACAGGATTCATCGCGCTTTTATTTTGAAAACCGACACGCAAAATGAAGCAGTCACGTGACCAATGCAATGCGAGGCCTCGTTTGTTTCCAGTCACGTGGTTTTCAACAAGACAACACAGGCCTCGAAGCGGGGCTTCATTGACACGCCCCCTTATTACTCTGTACAAGCCTCGAAGCCTGGCTTCAGATAGCCCATCACTAGTGTGAAGAAATCAACTGTGGGATCAATTATTAGAAAATGGAAAACATACAAGGCCACTGATAATCTTCCTCGATCTGGGGCTCCACGCAAGATCTCACCCTGTGGGGTCAAAATGATCACAAGAACGGTGAGTAAAAATCTCAGAACCACACGGGGGGACCTAGTGAATGACCTGCAGAGAGCTGGGACCAAAGTAACAAAGGCTACCATCAGTAACACACTACGCCGCCAGGGACTCAAATCCTGCAGTGCCAGACGTGTCCCCCTGCTTAAGCCAGTACATGTCAAGGCCCGTCTCAAGTTTGCTAGAGAGCATTTGGATGATCCAGACGATGACTGGGAGAATATCATATGGTCAGATGAAACCAAAATAGGACTTTTTGGTAGAAACTCTACTCGTCGTGTTTGGAGGAGAGAGAATGCTGAGTTGCATCCGAAGAACACCATACCTACAGTGAAGCATGGGGGTGGAAACATCATGCTTTGGGGCTGTTTTTTTGCTAAGGGACCAGGACGACTGATCCGTGTGAAGGAAAGAATGAATGGGGCCCTGTATCGTCAAATTTTGAGTGAAAACCTCCTTCCATCAGCAAGGGCATTGAAGATGAAACATGGCTGGGTCTTTCAGCATGACAATGATCCCAAACACACCGCCCGGGTAAAGAAGGAGTGGCTTCGTAAGAAGCATTTCAAGGTCCTGGAGTGGCCTAGCCAGTCTCCAGATCTCAACCCCATAGAAAATCTTTGGAGGGAGTTGAAAGTCCGTGTTGCCCAGCGACAGCCCCAGAACATCACTGCTCTAGAGGAGATCTGCATGGAGGAATGGGCCAAAATACCAGCAACAGTGTGTGAAAACCTTGTGAAGACTTACAGAAAACGTTTGATCTCTGTCATTGCCAACAAAGGGTATATAACAAAGTATTGAGATGAACTTTTGTTATTGACCAAATACTTATTTTCCACCATATTTTGCAAATAAATTCTTTAAAAATGTGATTTGCTGGATTTTTTTTTTCTCATTTTGTCTCTCATAGTTGAGGTATATCTATGATGAAAATTACCGGCCTCTCTCATCTTTTTGAGTGGGAGAACTTGCACTATTGGTGGCTGACTAAATACTTTTTTGCCCCACTGTATGGGTGGGGCGGCACCCTAGTGCCCCCTATTTGCCAGCCGCCACTGCATTGAGGTAATAACTCATTGTTTTCACTGCATCTAGACCATATATAGTGTATTCTGTTCTATTCTCCTTGTTGCCATCAAAATTCAGATTCCTGCTCCAGCATGACTCTGCTCTGGCGTTACAGTAGTTAACATTACAACAGCAGAAAAAAACATTTAAAGCATCAATAAATCAGATGGAACAAAATTCAGACCATTAATCAACAACTTATCCTGAATCAATTTTCCCAGAACAGCTGGATTAATGGTGAGAATAAATTCCACCTAAGTGGACCTTATTAGGAGACCCTTAAAGGTACCAGAAACAGCATTAAATGATTCGATACAAACACACCACACTGTTTTGATTGGGAAACCAGACATCCATGTCCTTTCTATTCAGGCCTAACTTGTAGTTCTATTGCTGTAACGTGCAACGACTGAACAATTAAAAGGGAAATTCAATCATTTAATGAGAAAGATCTCTAGAGTAAGCATGTCGACCACCTAGAACAGTATTTCCATAACACAAATAATTCCATGTTAATGATCATTTATTATGCAACCTACGTGGATACTTCAGCTGACTCGCTCTCAGAGATTGTTCATACCTTGTGCTATTTCCAGCTGCCTCTTAGCATCTCCCAGAGCGGAGAACAGGTCCAGTTTGATCCTGGTCTCGGCGCTGAGGCTGTTCTCCAGATGCTGGGTCTTCTCCTGCATAGCTGACAGCGCAGACATCAGCACCTCGGTGTCCTTCTCGTTCTCTTTATATTTGCGCAGCTCCTGAAGTATAGGAGGGGGACAAATAGGAGCAACCATGAAAAGGTGATGGTAACAGAGCGTAACAAAAGCACCTTTCCAAACTGGAGGGCAGATTTCAGTAAAAGCAGTTTAACAGCAGGACTTCACACAGAAGCAGGCAGCAGTAAAGTCTCACCTGACACTTTCCCTCTAGATCCCTAATCTGCTCCTCCTTCAGCTTCATGTCCATGCTGAGCTTCTTACACTCCGTCTCCAGCTCTCTGATACGACCACGAAGGGAATCGGTGGACTCCACTCTGGTGAACAGGTGGAAAACCCGTTAATTTAAAGATCAGAAGGGGCTCAAACGGAAAAGACCATTAAAGAAAATGTACCTGGTTGCAGCAGCTAGGGCTACAGCTCTGGCTGCAGTGGCCTCCTCCATCTTCTTCCTCTTTCGCTCCTCGGCCAGCTGCTTCTCCACCAGAGCTCGGGCCTCCTGCTCAGCCTTCAGCCGCTTCTCCAGCTGGGATATTGTCTGCTTGTCCTTCTGCTTTGCCTGGACGGCACTGTGGAGCCTGATGGGTGGAGAGAGAGGTGGTCAACCAGGCTGCATCTGCATGGCATCACATTTAGAGTCAATTCATTCTTCCTGAACTTTAAGCTTCTTCCAGAATTACAACAAAACTCAAAGTAGATCACAATATAAAGGGAATCAAACAAATAGTGTCTAAAGCCCCTGATTTCGACCAGCGTATGCCTGACATAGGAAAAATCTGGCAAAAACACTGCTATACTTTGGATAAGTTATAGGTACGTTTTGTATAAATTATGAGCACGCTGAAGCACGCTGGCACACGTCGACATACGGCGAATATACGTGAACGTGTTTATAACTTACAGCTACCATATAATGGCGTAGTGGCAGCGTTTTGGTATATAAGGGTGTTCACAGGAGGAAACCATCAGTGGTTCTCCAGACTGCATCCGTATCATAGGGTGAGCAAGAATGTGAGTGTGATGGATCCTCCCTGCGTTCACGCCAAAGGCCAACAAACCTCCTAGCAGACATGACGCCGAATCTGCTGCAACTGCAAAACCCTCTTCCTTTCTTTTTCTTTATTTTTATTTTTGGGAGGGGGAAGAACAGCAGTAAGGTTAATACAGCAATAAACGACATCTTTTTATGCAGAACAGGCAACTGAAGGGAGCAACTTTAACTGATGCTTCGTAATGCCCATGAAATGATGCACAAGCGTCACTTTATGGGCATTACGCTGCCGTGCGTTATGTATAAGTTAAGCTGTTGTTGGATATAAGCTTTGGACTTGTTATGAATACTCTATGTATAAGCCCAAAATTGAAAAAATATATAGAAAAGTCAGTGTATTCCAACGTTTTAGGAGATTCTGGTCCGTAGGGCATACGCTGGCTGAATCTGCAAGGTGCAACTGGGCTTTTAGAGGTCTCTCAAACAAAGATAGGCAAAGTGTGGATTTACATTTAGAGCTTTGAGTCCTTTGGTCTACGCATGTTTAAGCAGAAGCCTGATTTTGGACAATTCTACAGAAAAATGCGACTTTTTCACTGCATTAAAAACGGTCCAATTCTGATCCTTTCAAATTCATATATGAATTTTGCCTTTTTCATGTTTAGTAGCAAATTTATTTTACAGTTCTTAAAGCATTTGAGACAGTAAAGGAGCATTTCACCCAACCCTCATGTCATCAGCCAGTAGGGTTGTCAAAAGTATCGATACTGAAACGTATCCGGATACAATACTCGTTTTTAAAAGTACCGATACAGTGCTTCCACCAGTGGCACCTAAGCAGTCATCCATCTAAAGTGCAGAGTAGAGGACAATGCACTTTATGAACACTGTATGATTGAATAATTCTGTGTACTATTCAGTTTCAGACTTTTTTTGTAAAAGCTGCAGCTGCTGAGAATTATTTTTTGTTTCTTAACCGGTTTGGCTAGTGTCATTGCTATGTGTGCAAAGCATAGCCAAGGAAGGAACACTTAATTTTAGTTTTGTAAGTTTTTATCAAGCTTGCTTAATATTGTGCACAGCATACAACCTAAAAATATTGTTCTTATTCTTTATTGTATTTTATTTATTAATAAACATATTTTTGTTGAATTTTGGAGTCTTTGTTTTTATCCTTGTGGTATCGAAAATGGTATCGAGTATCGAATATTTTCCTCGGTATCGGTATCGAGTTGAAAAGTTTGGTATCTTGAAAATCCTATCACCCAGGCTCTGACTGTCATTCATATCGACTCCTCGCCCACTCAGTCACTGCTCCAATAAAAACACATTGAAAACAGTTCTGTTCCCTTTTTCTCACCCATCATTCTTACACAGAAATATGGACCTGTTATTACTCCTGTGTGATATCTACACAAACCCATGAGACTGGAGTCTGATGGTGGCCACATTTAATTAGAAGCATGCTGTATATATATATATATATATATATATGTAGGCATACAGGGAGAAAAAAAAACGCAACAGAAATACAATTTTCATTGATTTTTACAGACAGCATCAGTAGCTACGCTTACATGCGCAAAATTTCCCCGATCTGATCTAAACCATGTTTGATGGGAAATTCAAAATCTTCGTTTAAATGGAGACTAGTTAAAATGATCCTATCATGACAAATGTGTACTGTACCAAAGGTTAAATCATTATGTGTATACAAAACAGTCAACAACAAAGTGGAAGAGTCACACTGACGTTGCACACATGCGCAGTAGAGATTATTTTAGTCCAGAATGGAGGCCTTCAATCCGACCATTTGTGTCCATGTAGCTAAGGTGCTAACACCAACACATGGATAGCAGTCCAAATTGTGGCTCTGGGTGCATGTTTAAGGCTGCTCTGTTGGTCTTTATGTAGCTAGTTTCTGCAGGATGGTGCGCTGCACCTGCAACGCTCTGCACAAGAGCACAGTTTCCTTTATTTTCATATATTTGCTGGTTTAAACTTCCCCACAACATTCTTCGTGAGCCGTTTGCAGTGTTCCTTAAGGGCTGGTTATCTCCCGCAGCAGTGTGTCGCAGTGAGCTTGTCGCAGATATTTTTGATTTATGCCCCATTTTTGAAGCACGGTCTGCTCTATGTTATTCCACGCCACAAAGCAAGAGGGACAATTACGAACTAGCTGTGGGTCTAGATACGGCTGAGGCGGAGAGGAAGTGGAGGTAAGTTTGTGCGATAATGGAGGGACAAGAGGGTGAAGAAGAGCAGGGATCCAGATGGAAAAAGGGTCCCAGCGTTCTCACGCACCTCGCTGTTCTAGCAGGTCCATCTTCACAAGTCGTTTTCCACAATGGCGGTCATACAAACAAAACAAGCCGGTAAGGTACCAAACAGGAAATATGCATAGAGTAGATCGGATGTAGATTTGACCAATCAGAGGCCTCCTGTCTGCGGTCACCTACAATTTTGGAGACGTGCAGCCAGAGGGGCGGGGAATATCTACGTTCACTGTGACACACACGCATAAGACCTGGTTTCTTAGCATAACAACTAAACGCTGATTTATACTGTTTGTTCACTAATGTTCTCCAACAACAGCGCACCCAAACAGATGCTGAATACCAATTAAACGAATTTTTCTCTTTGAATATTCAATCACTTCACAGCTATACACTCGTTTCAGTTTATGCAATGACCCGATACATTTCTATGAGCAGATATCAGATCCTCCAAACGTATTGGTAGTTACTCTGTGGATTTTAGATGGTAATATTTAAAAGAACCAATTTCTGAGCTAAATCCCTGCTTGTGCATTCGTCCTCACTTGTTCTGCAGCAGCTCGTTGTCCTGGCGCAGCTGGCCCAGCTCCGAGCGAAGGCTGCGGTCCTGGCTGCTCAGAGAGGAAAGCTGGCTGCGCAGCTCAGACTCCAGCTGCCTGTTGGCCTGTAGGTCTGCCTTCAGCCGCTTCATGTCCTGCTCCAGCCTTTAACAACACAAGTTTATGAGACAACAGCTTTTCATTCACAGCTCTGCCACCGATACGGTAACTCTGACATGACATGGCTGATGGCGAATCTTACCGTACTAGGGTGTCTGGCTTCCCCAGCTGGTTATTAGGGATGCAGTTCTCCACTGGATCCTTCTGCCCCTTCCCCGAGCCTTTCTGTTTCTTCTCGTTCTTATTGGTGGAGGAGCCTGAAGGGAGGCTGCCGTTTGTAGAGCTGTGGTTCCGTGGGGACGAGTTGGTGCCCCCGCCCACATTTTTGAAGTTCTTCCCCGTTCCCCCCATGTCCTCTTTAGCTGTCCCGTCGGCGAGGGAGTTCTCCCCAGCCAGGTCGTTATTCAGTCTCTTAGTCCCCATGTAGTTCTCTATACTTTCTGTCTCCTGCAGTTTGGAGTCCAGTGCATGAATAATACTGTTGTTATTGATCCCCACTGTGTTCTGTTTTTTACCCTCGCGCTCTTTAGCCACACTGTCCTTCCCCTTTTCACGATACTCCAGCTCCGGCAACGTGACAGAGGAGCTTTTCTTCCCAGGCGGCGCTCCGTTTTGGGAAACGACTGTTGGTTCTACCTCAGAGATCCCCTTGGCTAAAGCAGCTGGATGAAAACAAACACATGCTGGGTTAACGGACACAAACATCACCAAGAAAATTTAGCTGGTAGAAAACTTGAAACCACAGATATCAGTTAAATCCTGACCTGGGAACAAACTGGAAAACATCATCCAGTGATCCGATTAAAATAAAACTTGTTTGTTTATTTTTTTTAGGAACCTTAATCAAACAAAAGCTCCTGGAAGTCAGATAAACAGAAATCATCTTAAAATTCACTATCAAGAAACACAGATCCTGGTTGTTTAAATTCGTAGGGAAGCAGCCTTATCAACCGTTTCATTTCCAAGTTCTCCCTAGTGGTGCACAACTTTACACGAGTGAATAAAGTAAATGTGATTAGTTGTTTATCAAGAGGGCAGGATTGTTGTGGTGGAAGGTTTGCAAACAAGTTTGATTATGGCCGGTTTGTCGAAAGCGTCTTGCTAACCAGTTAGCAACTTAGTGCTAGTAGGTTCCCAATGGGAAATTACATTAGGACCAAGTAGCACTAAATTGGTGACTTAGAAACGACACTGTCAAGGAACGCTATGGATAGTGGAAACATGCAAGAGGAGGAGAGTTTTGTGTCGGAGGTCGTGGATGAGTCTCCTCCGCCATACACTTTTTATTTAGAGCAGGAAAGTGGGGACAGAAATGTTGTGGAAGAGGACGCCAGGGCGGCAGAAGCCTGGTTTGGTGTAGAAGGCTTACAGCCGTACATGCTTTGACTGAAAAAATTTGATTGACAGATGACCGTTGATTTATGATTGGCCGAATTTAGGTGTTCTGGCTGACGTATAACTAACTGGCAAGCATAAGATAATGGAAAAAGAAAATACGAATTTTTAAGACAGGATTTTTTTTTCAAAAGAGAAATTTTCTAAATTTTGGGACAATATCATCTGATAAAGAGTACATTTATATACACGTTTAAGCCACAGTGATTTCACATTAAAACGACTTTAAATGGACCAATTTTGGAAACTCTTATGGTTTTAATAAACCAGCGCTTATAAGGTCAGAATAACAAATACTGACAGGAACAGTTTTGTTTAAAAAAATACTCTCCCTGCACATTTTGTTCCTGCAGATTTGACACCATGAGGCTCCCAATGTTACAATCATGAGTTCATGCTCCTTATCTGCTCTCTTGCAGCTGCAGATTCTCTCTTACACTTGTGTCTCTGTTTCTGCGTGCTCATGTAAAGACATGTCTCTCTTCAGTTTCATTCAAGCTTCACTTTCCACAATATAAGCAGTGAAGCTACCTTTAGCATAGTTCATACAAAGTTCAAAATTAACTTTTTGAGTTATTTGAATGACTTCACTAAATCAAATTTTACTTCTTTATTAGGACAGCTATTAGCCTCTAAGGCTGAACAATTCTTCCTAAAATGTAAAACTGATTACACTGAACTAATATTCTGATGGCTTTATTTTAAATTTGCTTCACACAAAACACAAGCATGTAAATGTGTTTTACTCAGTTTACCTATTTCGTAATTGGTAAACAGAGAAACGAGCTGCTTTTTAAGCTAACTTTAACCTCTGCATTTAGCCGTTCAGGAAACATGGACTCCATACATGTTCCCCTAAAACTGGTTATAAAATAAAAACTAGGAGGACTAATCAGTCCTGACATGGTGGGTTTTAGGTTTAGCTTTGATTTCTAACCTCCTTTCTTAAGCAGAGCAAACAGGCTGACACAGACAATCCACAGTCTAACCTTCTTCTGCTTCCCGTTCCTGTCTCTGCAGCATCTGTTGCTCTGGAGGCAAAGCCTGCTGTAGGAGCTGCATGTAGAACTCGTTCTCTTTTTGCACCTCCTTCTGTTTCCTCAGTCGCATCTTATAGCTCACGTAGCTCTTGAAGCCGAAGCCCAGGGTCACGACCGGATAGCCGATACTAGGAGGAATAATTACAGGACAATATTTTGGTTTTATTACATTGGGATTTCATCTGATAGACCAAGAGCAAGAGGGTAATGACTGTGGTTTAGAAGAAACACACTGCTCCCCGAGAGCCCCATGATGGCAGCCCACTGCTCCCCAAGGGGATGGTTTAAATGCAGAGCTAATGTAAGATAAACAAAGCACAATTACCGTATTTTCACGACTATAAGGCGCACTTAAACGTCTTTTTTTCCCCTCAAAATGCGCGGTGCGCCCTATGGTGCGGTGCGCCTTATGTGTGTTGTAACTGCGACTTTATAGACCACCTCATTGAGGAGATGATGAAAGAGTGGCTGAATGTAAGGAGACCAGGTGTTTTTTTTTCACTCATCACCATCGCTGTTAATATGTAACTCCATGCGTGCCCATCTCACAGCTGATGTGAAAAACATGGGGAAACAAATTAACGCTGTGCTCGCTGTTCAACCGCTCGACATCGGTGTGAACCGGACCCAGCAGGTGCAGCAGGTGCAGCGAGTTTACATGCAAAGTCAATGGTTGACGCGCGTATAGGTGCAGCAAAAGGTCCTGCAGCGCGTTTTGAGCTGCAGGAGCGTTTAAGCATCTGACGCACCGCCAACGCGCTGCTGCTGCTCGAGATGGAAAAATTGAAGTTTTGCTGCTGGACGCGCCGCATCAACCAATCAGAGAAGCTGATCTGGGAGCTGACAGCGAGACAGGCACAGCGCTCTGATGACATATGATATTAACGCAAATGAAAAAGGCTGGATGGATGAGGAGATGATGAAAGGCAGGTGTATGTGAGGAGACCAGGTGCTTTTTTCCACGCATCACCATCGCTGCGTGCCCATCTCACAGCCGATGTGAAAAAAAGGTGAATCAAATGAACGCTGTGCTCACCGTTATCCCGGGGGGTCTGACAAAGGAACTTCAACCGCTCGACATCGGTGTGAAGCGTGGGAGCGATGGATGACAGACGGAGACCACAGTTTCAGGATAAGTGGAAGGCAGCGCCGGAAAAGTTACGCCACCTTTAGCGGATGGATTGTTGATGCTTGGACTAACGTGTCTGCTGGCTCTGTTGTTCAAGCTTTCGCAAAAGCCGGCATTATTTCTGAGGAGCCGCGCTGCACGGAAAGTGACTCTGACAGCGAAGAAGGGGAAATTGGCATGTCTGATTTAGCGCAGCTGTTTAATTCAGAAACAGAGGATGATGGCTTTGATGGGTTTGATTAATACTTTGTAATAAATACATGAATAAAGCACAATCATACTCAGTTTTGCTCCCGCTCTATTTTTCTACCTGAAAACTTAATTCAACAGCAGCCTCTGGGCGGGTCTCCTCCTCTTCATCGCGGTGGCTGGCAGGTGTTTTTTCATCTAAATAATCGAAATCTTGCAGCTATATTTGCTGTGATCAGTGGGAATAAAGTAGTTTTAATATGTTTTTAAGTGAGAAAGGCCACCTGAAAACTTAATTGCAGTCAGGTTATCCAGATTATCTATTTCTGTCGGAGGCGCTCAGACCCCCACATACCAGCGGTGCACCGACAGCAGAAATCCCTTCAACAGCAGCCTCACTGCGGCGGCTGGCAGGTGTTTTTCATCTAAATAATTTACAGTGCAGGCACCAGGATACCGGCAATAAAAGCGAACATATTCCGTCGGCAGGTTTCAGGATTTTAAGTTAATTTAGGAGTGACCACAGCGCTCTGTCATCTGCAATGTGTCTGTCTCATGGCCAGCTCGCAGGTTTGATTAATACTTTGTAATAAATACATGAATAAAGCACAATCATACTCAGTTTTGGGCCCGCTGTATTTTTAAAATACGCAGCAGAGCTATTTAAAGGTAGTAGAGGACATGTACCTGTATATAAAAAATGCGCCCTATAGTCCGGTGCGCCTTATGTGTGTGTTAAATACAGAAATGGGACACATAACTGAGACTGCGCCTTTTAGTACGGTGCGCCTTATGGTCGTGAAAATACGGTATTATTACTCTGTGTATAAAACTTTTTTTCAAAGCAATCTGTGAACAATCCTTCATACCTTCCACAAGGACCAAAGGAGAGATCTGTGATTTCAGCAACAACCCCTATTGGAGCCAACTATATGTATTTATTGTTTGTTTTTGTTTTTTTTTAACAATAGATGGGGCTATCAGCTCCAGTATTGAACCAAGAGGTGACCAGTAGTCCACAGGTGTTGAATCCGGAAGGGCATACAAGTTTTTGACCGCTGTGGCGGAGAGTCATTGTTAACCCTGTGGCCGTGCATCGTGGAATAAATGGATTTGTTGACAAATGGTTCATCTGGCTGGATCAATTTTGTACAACAAGAAGATCTTTGGGATTCATTTTACACGCGATCAACAGGTTCAACATTAGCTGCTCGGCGCGTCAGAACTAAGCAGCAACGGAACAACGCTTAACTAGTGCAGTATTTTTCTTTTTCTGTGGCCCTGCTGATCTTTAAGGATTATTTTCCTGTTAGGCGTGGACCCTCCATCCCTGTATCAGGTCTGACCTGCTATTTTCCGGCATGACACAGCCACCACCATGCTTCACATGTAGCCCAGAGTTGAGTGCAGGGTAGGATCTAGCAGATCAACCAAAATGTTTCATCACTGAACCTGTGCAGCTTGTTTTCCAGGCATCTTTGGTCCCCTACATGCCTTGTTGTGACCTTTAAACTGGCCTCTACCAAGAGCCTCCTTCATGTCCATCTGTAGCATAGAGACCAGATTTACTGCACAGCTAATCGTTGTGCCATAAACATGTGGTTATCTGCAGCTCCTTTAGTTACCATGGGTCTCCTGACTAATGCTCTCCTTGTCTAGCCTGTCAGCTGAGTTTGACAGACATGTGTTAGCAGACTAGGTTAATTAATTGCTATTAATCTTAGAGGTTTACCCTTCCTTGTCAAATCCAGTCTGCTGCATTCCTTGATCTTCATGATGCCGTTTAGTCACTGATGTTTTTTCAAAAAACTCCACTTAATTGGTTTTGTACATTTTTAAAGGAACTTGGTTGCAATTTTGTTAAGAGGTATTGGAATGAAGAGGTGTGATATCATTTATTAAAACATTTATAATTTCCCTTTATTTTTTTAAAGGATGCTCAATATGTCGGCATTAGCGTCCCTATCAACTCATGTTGCTCATTTATTAACACATTACCGTACTTGTATCAATATGAACAATTTAGGTTTATTTCCATCTAGTTGCTGAGGCGGTGCCAGCATTGTTGGAGGTTTTTTCCACAGTGTCTTAAATTTAAAAAATATAGATATCGTATTTTCCAGAATATAAGTTGCTAGTTTTTCCCCCCATGCTTTCAACCATGCTGCTTATTAAAAAAGGTGTGGCTTTTCTGTGGACTTTTCCTAATCAGGGGGCAGAAGTGAAAGAAGAGTGGCCTAATTTTTATTTAGCACACGCTAGCAGCAGGCACAACTGAGAAAAAATGTCCCGAAGTCACACGTTGAAATTTATTTCCTGCTTTAAAGCTGGGAACCAAAGAAAAGACTGCGTGCAACTCCTCCAGAGCTGAAATAAAGAGCTGAAAAGGCCCCATGATTAATTAGAAGCTCTTACTGCTGCGAACCAACAAGCTAATGGGAGCTAGCATTCTTCATTGTCCCTTGGTTTTACATGTAGTGCTCCCCCTACAGGTTTGGTTCGAGACAGTTCAGTGAATTCAATACCTTTTAGCCTGGTGCAGCTTATATATTGTCGCTGTCGGGAAAAAACCTTGTAACTGCCATTTTGGACTTTTTTTTTTTTTTCATAAATTGATACGATTGCTCAGTCCCCACGTGTGAACGTATGTTTTGGAAAATATTAACCAATTAAAAGTGTTGAAAAAAGGTTGGGACTTAATCTCGTTACTCTATTGGACTCTTCCGCTGTCACTGTTTTTACAATTTCCTGTAAACTTTATGGTTTTGGACATACGAGGTTTCCGTCCGACAGCGACGATATGTAGCTTTCCAGTTATTAAAAACAAAAAAACAAAAAAAAACACCACAAACTTTGTGGGTATGCCTTATAGTGAGATGCGTTCTATAGTCCAGAAAATACGGTAATATTAATCAGATATATTTTTATAGTAGTGCATCCTTACATTTTTTTCTCATTGTTCTTAAGAAACGGCTAAATAAATGATGATTACCAGTGAGCAGCAAAGGGTCGACAGAGATCTACGTGGAAATTCTTCAGATCTTTGAACCGTATAGCAGCTTCGATGTACACAAACAGGATCCACAGCGAAACGGTGGGTAGACACACTCCTCTTTCTGGATAGAACAAGACAGAACAGAAGAGGACAGAAAAAAAAAAAAAAAAAAAAGGTGTATTAGCCTTTAACTTTACAAAGCCACAGCAAAGATATAAAAAACAAAACAATAAGCAACTGAAACCAACCTGTGTGCCAAACATACTGAACCCATACGTAGGTACTGGCTGCAAAGAACAACCACTGGACAGGGATGAAGAGGAGGCATATGATGTCGGATGTAAACGCCACACAAACGAAGAAAACGGAGAACGCCTAAAAGAAGGGAAAAAGATAAATCAATGTTTAACGTTTAAGCTCACAGTAAAAACACCTTCATCTAAATTTTATAGCTTTAAGATAATGAAAAGGATTTTTTAAAGCTTTAAAAGGGATGGAATAACAGTAAAGGGAATAATGTCTGTAAAAACAAAACATTTCACTGTTCTTATAGAGACCACATGATCAGATTCCAGGTTTTGCATGAATATTTAGGAAGCCTGTGGATGGAGGTAATACAGAGAGGCTCTTACCAGACCCTGATATCTGAACGAGTCGTAGACGCTCCGAATGAAAAGCCAAAAAGGCCACAGGTACTCGAACCTGAACTCCAGCACGAAGTCAGCCAGCAGAACTAACACCCAGACCACCAGGAACTTCAGGTACAGGAATGTGCTGCGGAGGACGGAAACAAAACTATATGACCAGGGGAGGTGGAACGAGCAAAATTACCTGTACAAGATTCCACATTTACCAATGCAAAAAACAATGTGTCAGTGTATTTTAAGGGATTTTATATATTACAGTAAAAACCCTGGTTTCAAATTTTGTATATTCTCCCTCGGGTAATAATTTGTGCATTAACGCAATAACAAATTTTTGTTGATATCATTTCCACACCTGTAGATAAATAGTTTCATTTTTTCTTTTTAAATAGTAAAGGATCAGCAAGATGAAGCATAACTGTCTCCTAACAGCATGCTTCTCCCACCACCATGTTTTACTATAGGGAGGATGTGCATAGCCGTTTTCATGCACACTTCATTTCCCGCTGAGGGAATGGATATACATTTGTAAGTAGAATAAAAGAAGTCAAATAAATAGCAATGCTCTTACTGGTACTTAATTGGTTTTTAAATCCAGATGTTTTTAAATGATCCTTCAAGTAAAATCCCAATAAAAGACACCGACTTAGGTGTAAAAATAAATCACATTTATACAATTACGAATATTTATGTGAAGTCTTCAAAAAAAAAAAAAAAAAAAAAAACATTCCCAGTGTAATGATCTCTCAATTTCTCTCTTAGACATACAAGAGAGCGTGTAACATCTACTGACTTCATGACTTTTACATCCTGTACACATCAAATTCTCCCCCATTTAACAACTACGTAAATGGAAATGCAAACAGGTTCTATTATCAGGTTAAAAAAAAATACAACTTCCCACAAGTGTTGATGGTCCTAGTACCAAATAAGCATCTCCAAGTCCCTCCATATATACAGTAAGGTGTGCAATGATGTTCCTCAAAGGATTAGATCAGCGATGGGCACAAATACATCAAAATGTATTTCAAAATAAAATACCAAATACTAATGTGAAAAATTTATCAAAATAAACTACAAAATACAGCCAACAAAAATGTATCAAAATAAAATACTGTACTTTTAAAATACTTAATTCTAAGAGCCTTTTACTTTTATCCCTTCACTTGTACACTACCTGGAAAAAACATCTGAAAGCAAGAAACTCCTTCCATAATCAGTCCACCGATATGCTGACCGCTGATAGACACCCCAATATAAACCTCTGCCCTGAGAAATGTTCAGTAACCCAAGGAGCCCTTCTATAAGTATACTTATTTACTCTTTTAGTGGAATAGATTTAGCTTTATAGATAATTAGATGTCATCAGGGGTGGTCTCACAGAAAGTATTTTACAGTATTTTGAAAATAAAAAGATACACAACACTGAAGTGTTTTGATACAAAATAAGAAGGCATTTTCATCATCTCAAAATACAATTTATAAAAAAGTATTTTGTTTAGTATTAGAAATTCTGCTCATCCCTGGATTGGATTAATTAGATATGAGTTACTACTCAACAATGGGGGATTTCACCTGAGATGACTGATTCAATGTGTGTGTAAATGCTGGTTTCTACAGAAGAGGATTAGGACCACTGAAAAAAAAAAAAAAAAGTTAACAGACTTTTTTTTTTTTATTCCAGTATGAGAAAACAGAATTCTTCATCTCAGAGTTCTGACTTTGACCTCAGAGTCCTCACTTATTCCTCAATTTAATCTCAGAGTCCTCAGTCCTCAATTTAATCCCAGGGTCCTCACTTAGTCCTCCATTTAATCCCAGGGTCCTCACTTGGTCCTCAATTTAATCCCAGACTCCTCACTTGGTCCTCAATTTAATCCCAGAGTCCTCACTTAGTCCTCAATTTAATCCCAGAGTCCTCACTTAGTCCTCAATTTAATCCCAGAGTCCTCACTTAATCCTCAATTTAATCCCAGAGTCCTCACTTAATCCTCAATTTAATCCCAGAGTCCTCACTTAATCCTCAATTTAATCCCAGAGTCCTCACTTAGTCCTCAATTTAATCCCAGAGTCCTCACTTAATCCTCAATTTAATCCCAGAGTCCTCACTTAGTCCTCAATTTAATCCCAGAGTCCTCACTTAGTCCTCAATTTGATCCCAGAGTCCTCACTTAGTCCTCAATTTAATCCCAGAGTCCTCACTTAGTCCTCAATTTAATCCCAGAGTCCTCACTTAGTCCTCAATTTAATCCCAGAGTCCTCACTTAGTCCTCAATTTAATCCCAGAGTCCTCACTTAATCCTCAATTTAATCCCAGAGTCCTCACTTAGTCCTCAATTTAATCCCAGAGTCCTCACTTAGTCCTCAATTTAATCTCAGAGTCCTGACTGAAATCTGACAGTTAACAAACATGCTGGCATCAAGCCTTAGCCTTGTCTAGAGTTTAAATTAGCTCTCTTGTTATAAACACCTTCTGCTCTCCCATTAATGTAATAGCATCTGGCAATTAAAAAGTCGCCTAATTCTGACATTTTCCAATATGTTACTGACACTCTCAAACAACTATCATCTTTATCAATGAAGCTGAGTGCCCCCACATCTCTTCCATCATGTTGCCCAAATTCTGAGTTTAAAGTCAGAATTCTGACCATTCTATTTTTTTTTTCTCATATTATACTGAAATAAAATGTTAAAATTATTTAAGTTTTTATTTTTGTCCTCTCTTTGGCCCTAATCCTCTTCTGTAGATTTATGTGGAAAAAGTACACGTGAACCTGCTGAAAAACTGTTCAAACTGAGACGGGCCTGGATTACTGTAATGTTTTTAACCTTTACCTGTGAAACAAAAATTTAATGAGACAAAGAACAGCCAGTGGAGAAACTGTGGTTTAAATCCTCCACATATCAGCAGTAGAAATAAGCAGGTGTGCCTGTGGTTCATGTCTGAACATGTTGGAGTCGGACAGCACAGCTGCTTTCCATTTGTCTCGGATTACCGTCAATCAATTTAACGAGCAGCAGTTTATATTGCAAATAAATTAATAAATAAATAAGGCATTTGAATGGAGCCCCTCTGCCAGACAAAGCACATGTGATTTCAAAACGAGCGCCTCCTTCATTACCGCTTTCCTCACAAAGTTACAGCGCATTTCCTCTCATTTTCAATAAAATAAAATTTAATTAATTCATTTCCGGGCTTATTTAACGATTAACGTCCCTCGTGGATCCATTCACAGGTTAATTGAAATTGGAAGAGAAATGTTTTGTTCAGGCTAACGTTGGACGCACCGTGTTTTAAGGACCGTTAACCCGGGCCTGATATTTCATAAAAATACATAGTGCTGCTAAAGAGCTGCAAAATGACCGTTACACAGGCTGGCAGCCGCGTCCTGAGACATACACAGCGCCGCCATTGTTATACAATAAGGTCTCTCCAAACCCCCCCTTCCTTCTTTTTTTTTTTTTTTTTTTTTTGTACCTGCTATATATACCCTCGGTGATTCGGTTCCGTTTTAACGGCCGTCGGAGTTTGCTGCAGTCCGCATTGCGCCGCTTCATCCTCCCCCTGTTGATTCTCTGTTGATATCGCTCTGGGAACTGCAACTGGAAACGTCACCCGCTCATTCTAATGTCCCCACTTGTTCCAGTTACCCACCATTGTAGCTGTTTTATGCTCATGAAACAAAGAAATAAATAAAAACAGTCCCGACGAAGGCCCTCCCCTTTTCACGCCACGCAGCGTCGCGACGTCGGCGTTGTGACGTGTGACGTCTAAGTCCAAGGACGTAAGAAACATGGCGGCTCTTTTATTTTTTTATTTTATTTTTATTTATTTATTTTATACAACTTTATTTGTTTATTCAAAGAACAAAACAAAGCAACCATATGCACAATAGGTATTCACAACAACCATTATTTACAGACATTTTCAACAAGTGTAAATTCACATTTTTATCAGTCAAGTAAATGACCTCGTTTTGTGCAAAACAAGAAACAAGAAGGAAGAAAGACAAGAAAAAATAAAAATAAATTAAGATCGTATATCTATTAAACAAAAGTCTACACTAGGGGGAAACAGCGCTCTAAATAATATTAAAAAGGACAAAGGCATCTCGAGTTTTGATTGCTTTCTTATTTTCTGATAATTGTATGGTGTCAATATATCGTTTAAGTTCGTGCTTAAAAGCAGTAATGCATGGTTTGGAGCCTCTATATTTACATTTATGTATAAAGAACTTGGCCATAATAATAATAAAGTCAATTATATATACCTTATCTGATCTATTTGGTTGAACCTTGCAATTTCCCTTAACGCCGAATAGTATAGTCTTCCAAAATAAAAGTCTTTGTCTATTTTTCTCTTAATTAAATAATAAATGTCGTACCAAAAGGACTGGATAAGTGGACAGTTCCAGAATAGATGAACAAGTGTTTCAGGATTATTACAGCAGAAGTTGCGTGACATCAATGGTTTTTTTAAGCGTTTCTGGATAAAGACTTTGGTAGAATAAATGTTATGGATTATCTAAAATGAGATTTCTTTAGTTTTGTTATTTATCAAATATCGATTTGGAAGCAGCCAGACTTCTTTGATTTATTTTTTGAAACAAAAAAACATATTTTACCTACAGAAGAATCCACTGGTGATAACAAGGACAATTGAGAAATCTTTCATTTAGGACGTGACCAGAAAAGCATACAAATAGCCGAAGAGATGGATCCAAAGACTTTCGTATAATCCCCTGGAGGAATCGAAAGATTAAATTCAGTTAAAAACTCCTCATATGAGAAAAGGCGACCATCTTTGTTAAATTACTGAGCCACGTGTGTAATGTTATTTTGGAACCAATACTCAATAAAAAGAGATTTATGCTTGTATAGAATGTCCCTGTTATTCCATATAAGATACTTTGGGGGGAAAAGTTGTGTTTTAGATCAGAGTCCATGACAGGAAGGCCTGGCGTTGAAAAGCTGATAACTTAATGGGAACTTTATCAATATCATAATTGCACATTAAGAAGAAGTTTAATCCACCACTTTTAGAAATCATATACAAAGGTATAGCATTCCAATGGCTCTCTTATATATATTTACTTTTTTTTTTTTTTTTTTTAACAAAATACATTAATTTTCATTTTCAAGTAGGAAACTTGTATTACTACCAATGGAAACATACAAAACTTAAAAAAGAATTAAATTAAAATAAAAGACGGACTCATTCTGCAGCAAGACAGTTTCTGGCATCATGTTAACTTTAGCAATTTTGTGAGTAAAATAAACAAAAATTTTGACCAATCATTGGCCTCCCCTGTGGCCACCCCTACCATTTATTTCCCTCTTATACAGATGGTGGCAACAGTAATACTCTTAAATGGAATATTCAAAACATTTGAATATTCCACTTAATATTCTACAATTTTTCATATATTAGCAATAAAAACAACAAAAACATCATAGTTAATTATGCACACCCTTAGTAAAAAGTAGTTTATTCAAATAAACTAAAAGTGTACTAATTTCCTACTTAAAATCAGTTGGTGCACTTAAAGTTTACTTATTCTAAATTATATTTCATATACTTAACAATTGTTTACTTTGTTTTCTAAAGTTTACTTTAATAAACTTAAAAATTTCCCAATTTAGTTCAAAGAAGTATTACTTTAGTAATACTTCAAGTACACTAAACGTAAATTGTTTGATATACTTTCTAAACTTTAACTTAAGTATTTTTAATAGAATTTACTTCAAGTATACTACTTTTTGTAAAGGGCATCGATATAATAACATTAAAGATGATAAATACAGAATTCAAGCAGAAATAGATATTTGTGTTTTATGGGGTAAAGAGAAAAGTCATCTAGGAGTCTTCAGGGAAATCATAGATAAATAACTATTTTGATAAGAACTTGTTAAATAGTCAATTTATGTAGATATTTTTAATTGTAAATGTCAATTTTATGCAGAATGATTACTGATAAAAGTAGGTAAGTAATGTCAATGGAAAAGATTTTCGCCCAAAACTCAAACCTGAAAAATCTTATCCATTATACCTTTTATCTAGAAAGCACAGATGTTTGAATATATTCATCTTTTTGTAAACAAAGGCTGTGGGAAAATATATTTTGTCTTTATTTAGAAAATATGGATGTTGTGCTCGTTAATTTTCCTGCTGGAACAGTGCAGATTGACCGTGAGGTTTTGGTGCCTATCTACTTTAGGCCACCCCTCAGTGTACATTGGTTATTGCCTGGACACCCTTATAAAAATTTCCTGGCTACGCCTCTGAATGACATGTCACTACATAGTTTTTGTACATGTCTATATTTGTCGACTAACAGAGATAAAGATGAATAGAAGATTTTGTGTTTGTTTTTGAAACTTATTAATGAAGGTTTCTGATTTTTCCATTTACATGCATGTATATGATATCTTCCCATACTTGTAACTATTATGACCATGTCAGATAAATCCTTCGGAATGTCATTTTTGTATGTTAATATTTGATTTATCTGAAAAGGTGTTATATTATCTATTTGTTGCTCAACCAAATATTCAGGTTGTGCCAAAAGCAACCTGTGACTCGACACAAATAGAAGAGATCTTTGTCATGATGGGTTCACTAAAAGCGACCCAAGAATGCAGAACACCACTGACAGACACAGGGATGAAAGTTTAACAAGTTTATTGATGCATAAGCACACAGAATATTGTTGGGAGCTGGAGAAATACACCTTTTCTCCAGCAGAGTCCGCCCTGGATCCTCCCTGCTGTGCTGCTCTGCACACCTGCAGCTGATGATCTCATCTGGAGGACCTGGACTACTTAAGCTGCCTTCAGACCTTGCCTCGAAGCTGCAGTGTCTTAATCAGTTGGTTAGCACTTAAGCCATAGATCCCTAGTGAACCAAGTCTCCTTTGAGTCCAACCTGGATTCTAACCCTTTGTCTCTGCTTCCAGGTTTCCTGTTCTTTCTCCTGTGAAGCTCTGGAAGAGCTTAACCTGCCGAGCCAGCCCTCCAAGCCAAACCTGAAGACTCACTCTCTGGATTTCCTAGCAGCTCTGGATACCGAGCTGGAAACACAAGCCAAGGTCAAAACAGCCTTTAGAAGTAAGACGCTGAAACAGCTTAAGGACTCTGCCAACTCAAGTTTTCTCCGGACCCAACAGTTCCGCTCCCAAAGCCTCCTCTACGTTCATCAAGGTACAAACCTGAACACAATCAGTCAAGTCTCAACCAAGCCTTCGCTAACCAAACTGTCTTTCTCACAGACGCCAGTGAACCGGTCCCAGCCCAGAACCATTGCATCAGTCTTTATTATATGTGTGAATTTGCCAATAAACTCTGTTAAACTTTCCATCCGTGTCGTCAGTGTTCTGCATATTGGGCCTCCCTGATACCCATCATGACAGAACACTGCGGCCAAACACAAGGCCCAGCAGATGATCTCCTCCGCCGATTGCAAGAACAAGATGTCCAAATACAAGGACAAACTCAGACCCTCCGTGAGTTGTACCGTCTGGTTGATATGCATAATCATATGCTTCAAAACTACGCTAATTACGTGGGTAATGCTAATCCCGCTCCAGTAACCCAACCATTTCCGGGTCCAGTTCCTCCGCCGAGGTCACCGGCTGTGACGTCATCCGAGTTCCACCCAAGTCTCCCAGAGAAGTTTTCTGGTAACGTAACTGATTGTAAGGGATTTTTATTTCAATGTCGTCTCATTTTTCAGAACTCTCCTGCCAGTTTTCCCACGGACCACAAGAAAATAACGTTTATCCTTTCCCAGTTAACAGGAAGAGCTCTGGCTTGGGCTCAAGCCAGATTTGCCTCAGATGAAAGCTTAAGCTGTCACTATTCAGATTTCGTTTCTGAATTTTCCCAGGTATTCAACCAAGACACTGACCAAACCCTTGATTCTCGAGCACTGCTTCATCTAAAACAGGGAAATTCTTCTGTGGCCGAATTTTCTATAAATTTCCGGGTTAAAGCAGCTGCTTCCGGATGGAACCAGGATGCATTAAAGAGTGCTTATTTCGAGGCATTAAACGAAAATATTAAGGATGAGTTGGCTACCCGTGATGAACCGGCTACACTCGAAGAACTAATCCAATTAACTATAAAACTGGACAACCGGATTCGAGCCAGAAACAGCCGCAAACATAAGAGTTTGGCGTTATTTTCCTCTGCCCCCGCCTCTAATAACGTGACTGTTGTTTCTGCCCCCACAGAACAGTTATCCAGACCAAAGCCAAAGAGCCAGCCTCTCCCTTTGCCTGTTCAGGCTACTCATCCTGGAGAAACTGAGATGGAGCCGATGCAGGTTGGACACACAAGGTTGTCTCCTGAGGAAAGGCAAAGGAGATTTTTGGGCAGACTTTGCATTTATTGTGGTGAGAGTGGACACTTCATTGCTTCCTGTCCAGAAAGATCAAAAGCCGGGGCCCGTCAGAGGTTTTGAGGAGTCTGACGGGCCATGAAGAAAATGAAAAACCTCCTCGTCTTTTGCTTCCTGCCACGTTGTTTTTCCTCGACCAGAGCCTCTCTCTTTCAGCCTTCATTGATTCTGGATGTGAACGTAATTTAATAGACTCTGATCTCGTCCAACAGCTCCAAATTGCTACGGTTCCTTTAACCCAGCCTCTCATTGTCTCTGCGATTGATGTGAAAAAACTTCATCAAGTCACCCACCAAACTCAACCCCTTGAACTTCTAATCTCAGGTAACCATCGAGAGTCC